TATGTCGCTAAATCGATTTACAATTTCAAAGGTATATTGGTTTACATTTGCATCAGATGTCAAGGGCGTTAGAGCCTCAGAATCTGGCAATGAAAGCCACTTTACGGACGGCAGATTAAAATCGCCGAGAACTAATATTTTGTCAGAGTCGTTCATTTGTTAGTGATTGAATTTATTGCTAACAGATGCTGATTATAAATATCAAGTTGCGATGAGGGAGGAATGTATGAGCAAGTCACATATTATTTTTAAATTTTTTAATTCCATGGATATGCTAATAAATTCGATATCAAAACAGTTTAATTAAATTAAATTAGTGGAATATTTGGCATCAACTGCAATAAGGACGCCACCACCTTTTTAACAGCTCTATCTTTTCTAAATATTTGATATCTAGAACACAAAATTTCACTATTTAACACGGATGCTTTTAACCAAATTTCAGAAAATACTATAACATCATAATTAAAACCAAGGCTATCAGAGAGTTAATTTTGTGTTTAACCCTCTTACATTCTGATAATATTGAGAAACATATTTAGTTTTTTGGCAATATTTCAGCCCTCTGAGGCAAATGAGCCAATTTTTCAGATCTTTCCAGAAATTCCTTTACAAATGCATTAGCAGGCCAAAATTCTCTCGAAATTAGTCGATGAAACATACTTTCTTGTACTACGATTTTAAAAGATGATCTACTTTCTGAGAAAGCAGACCGGAGCTTATAACAACGTAGAAAGAAATTTCCATCGATTTTTGATTTTGATATGGGTTAACAGCACCTCACCTTTATTTTGATGATATCTTGGTCGGAGGATCAGATGTAAGAGAATGTGAAGTTAATCTGAAAATTTTACTGGATAGATTATTGCAATTTAACGTCAAGGTAAATTTTGAAAAATGTAAATTCTTCGAGGAAGGAATAGATTATTTGGGTTATACTATTAATTCTAGAGGCATCTCTCCTTCAAAATCAAAAATTCAGGCAGTAATAAACGCGCCAAATCCAACAAATAAAAGATGGGCAATATTTCTTTCTTTTTATAATTATACCATTCGCTATAAAAAGGGTTCAAAAATATGTCATGCAGACGCGCTATCAAGGTTGCCTCTAGCAGAAGAAATTGAAGGGGAAGAGGATAGTATTAATATATTCAATATTTTGGATGATGTACCAATAAATATGGACGATGTTCGCAAAGAATTAAAAACGGACAACGAGCTTAGTCGGATTTATCAATTTGTAATGTATGTGTGGCCCGCAAATCTGAATACAGATCTTATGAAATATTATGATAAAAGGACGGCATTAGGAACAGAAAACGAATGTTTGTACTACGGAGATCGTATAGTAATACCAAAAACTTTACAATGCAAAGTTCTTGAGCTATTGCACGATAGTCACATTGGTATAGTTAGAATGAAAGGTTTGGCTAGTACATATTTCTGGTGGGTAGGAATGGATAATGATGTTGAAGAGTATGTAAAAACATGCTCTACAAGTTGTAAAACACAGAATGTCTCAAAACAAATTACAACATCATGGCCTACTGCTACTTACCCTTTTGAACGAATTCTTTTTGCGAAAACTCCGGAATTGAATGTTTAAAGCCGCCCGCATACCATCCCCAAAGCAATGGAAGCACCGAGAGAGCCGTACAAACTGTTAAATCATGGGACTACAAAATAAATAATTTCTTGTTGAAATATAGGACAACACCAATAACAGTGACCGGTATTGCACCAGCAGTTGCCATATTTCGATTTAAATCTAAAACATTGTTAGACCATGTAAACCCAAAAACTAACAACAATTTAGAACACAAAAATGTAAATATTGTATCGCCCGCATACCATCCCCAAAGCAATGGAAGCACCGAGAGAGCCGTACAAACTGTTAAATCATGGGACTACAAAATAAATAATTTCTTGTTGAAATATAGGACAACACCAATAACAGTGACCGGTATTGCACCAGCAGTTGCCATATTTCGATTTAAACCTAAAACATTGTTAGACCATGTAAACCCAAAAATTAACAACAACTTAGAACACAAAAATGTAAATATTGTAATGAAAGTGAATGTTCAAAAAGAGATAAAAACTAAAATACCGGAATATACGGTTAATGAAGTTGTAATGTACAGAAATTTACATAATAATTATCATAAGTGGATACTTGCAAAAATCGTAAAACAATTAAGTACAATAAGATATTGTATTAGCATCAATGGCCAGCGAAGAGTGGCACATATTAATCAATTGAAAAAGTTTTGTGGGAGAGCAAGACCATATTATTCAAATATAACATATCGAAGAGATAATAATAGAAAGAGAAGAAAAGAAGTATTGGCATACCAAGTGAAGTAGAATTAAGACGCTCAGAAAGAATTAATAAGAAAAGAGAAGAAAATGAAAGAGATGATGATAGCTTATAAATGAATGAGAAATTGCATGATGAGAGTTTAATTGTTTTTGTCAATATTTAAGAGCGTAGATGAAAATTAAAGTTGCATGTTTATTTTGTTATTATACTTAGTCATACATTGTATAATTTGTAAATTATACAAAAAAATAAATCAATTATATAATTTGTAATTATATCATAATACTGTTATTTAAAATTGTTATTATAAGATTTATTTTAAAATTATATATCCTTATTTATATTGGAGAATGATACATATTTTATAACACCCTGTATCACTCTCTCCCTCTCTTCTTTGTTATTCAATTGTTGTTATTATTATAGCCCGTTTATTGAAGTATGTCATTCAATAAAGCGAATCTAATTATTTAGTCTGCTTTTAAATCTTGTGCGTTTCACTTAGTTCATACATATCACTATAGACGCACTCTTACAAAATTAAATAAATTTATTTTTAAAAAATAAAATATTTTTAAAAAATTAATAAAATTTAATAACTTCAATCCACCGAAATTTATTTTTAAGAAATATTGTGGTTCCTTACGTATATATCTCCAATATGTGTTCGTTGTTAATTTTTTTTTTTTTTTTTGATGAGAAAAAATTCAATCTTGATGGTCCACGATATTTCTTAAAACGAAATTTCGGTGGCGATTCCTTAATGGTCTTGGGGGCATTTTATAGCGACGGAATGCTTGAATGAAGTTCGTTCAAGTCTGATAAGACAAATTATTGTGATTTTGGGAAAGCAGCAACAACGAAGGAAACTTTTTTCAGCAGGACAATGCATCAGTTCATAAAAGTTTCTCAAGAAATGTTCAAACTAAGAAACAGGCTAAAAGACGTATCTTTTGCAATACAATATTAAAATGGCTTCTAAGAATACAATATTTATTTCGATTTTGTAATTGAGTATAGGAAAAGTCTATTACAAAATAAGGCATAGTCATAAATTCTACATAATACCGACCCAAAACGTCTACGTCTGGAGAGCTGGCGTAGTATAAGAACGCATACATAATATAAGAACGCATACATATGGGGAATCTTGATTTGTCGTGTCTTTGCAGAAAACCGCCAATATCAAACTGTATTTAACCCCAAAGGAGTAATTGTTAATGAATGGGGGTCAATCGATGAAGAATTGCAAAAAAAAAAAATGATACACAGTATGAAGGATAACATTTTTGAAGTTATTCACCATTATTGCATAATTTTATTTTATTTTATTTAAGTTTTTAAAAATAAATATATCTAATTTTATAAAAGTGCGTCTACAGTTATGCAACACCAATAAGTTTGAAAGTGCAGAATTAGGCGAAACCATAAAGAGTAAATGATTTATATTTGTTGAATAATATGTGTTTTTGATCATTTTATTGTGTACAATATCTTAATGGGTCCATTTTATTTGTCAATTAACATACCAAATATACTGTAACGATACCCGAATTATAAATATTGGCAAGATTGTCTCTAGTTCTTGTTATCCCCATTTGAATAATATGACCAACATCATTGAATAGAACTTGATAAAGTAATCACCCCTATTCCAGTTGTCGTCGTCGACCCAAAACGGAGCCGTTGAGACTTTTGTCGATAAATGTCGACACATTTTTGGTTTGACAATGATTTCATCGTATTTATTTTAGTTGACGAATGAAGAGTTTGAAAGTTTTTTCAAGAAATTAAAAAAAATCCTATGTTTGTTCGTGTAAATCGAACAAACATATGATCTAACGAAAAATGTGGGATATGGGATGTATTTCTAAATATTAAACGATTTCTTCAAAACTTTACACGTTTTTCCATGGGAGCTATATCTAAATCTGTTATGATCAATATCAACTGGTCGACAGTCGAATACTTGAGTGTCGGCCAAGCATAGATTTGGCAATTTAGAAGATAATTCACGACTAACGGCAAAGGATGGAATATTTCTAGAAATGGTAGAAAGTACTAATGCTGTCATTTCTATGGAGAGTGAAGAATCTAGAAGTGATGCAGTACCAGACGAACACAATTTCATTGACAATATTGACACTGATTGATTAAACCCAGTAATTGTGGTTTGAGTGGAAGTTGTTAAAAGGCCCAAACGCTGTAATAATCTATCAGTAACTAGCGGGCCCGGCAAACGTTGTCTTGCAAAGCATTATTGTTGATGTATAAGTCACAAATATAATTCAAGATAGCCCAATATTAAGCTACACTCCACGATTTAAGATAGTGCTCTGAAATTTGCACATACATTGCTACTATCCTATGATATTTGTTGTGCAAAGAGTAAAGAATCAACTATCGATTATGTATGGTGCAGTAAAAGCAAATGTTTCCCTCTTCGAAATATTCTTGCAGAAAACTGAATTTTCTTCTGTCATTTTGTTCAGCTGAAGTAATTAGTTTGTTAATTGAAATTTGTAGAAATCGCCTTCTTAGAAATCTTCTTCAGTTATAGATGAATTGCAAGATGTATAGATATTCCAAAGTAATTCCAGCAATTCGTATAATCCAAACATTCAAATATAAGCATTTAAACATTTTTAATAGATAACGTTAAAATAGTTTGACTTACCTCACATTGTCCGCAGTAATGAGATGCTTCGTTTTTACCTCTACCGTGAAATCGGACGAGCACACCTTTGGATTTAACGTATTCTAATGTGTGCATTACGTTTTTTAACGTTTGCAGTAGACAAGTCCTGAAAATTTTAATAATTATTGTTTATTAATTTTTAATCAATTCATAAGTAGTTACATACAACAATTTAAATAATATTTTCAAAATGTTTCCCTAATCAAACATCAATTATATTCGGTAATTTTTTACAGAAATGTACCGATTCCGAACTTTATTTGCATCTGTGCCAATTGAAAACGACGAAAATGGATGACAAATGTTTACATTTATAGAAAAACAAATTTTTCAATGACTGGAATTCAATTTTCGAAAAACAAAAAATTGAAAATACGCATTGTCAATAGGGTCGTACCTAAATTCATGCGTATGCGTACGATTTTATTCACCACAAAAGTTAAATACATGTATTTCAATGAATGTTTTCCAAATACGCATTGCGTATCAAAATATAAAGTTGAACATTTTCAACATTGACAATGCGTATTTTTGATTTATTGAAAATTGAATTTCAGTCGTTGAAAAATTTGTATTTCTATAAAAGTAAACCTTTTTCGATCAATTATAAAAATGTTTTCATAAATTTTCCCCGTTTTCAATTGACACAGATGCAAATAAAGTTCTTGCGTATTTGGGTAATACGGGCGTCAAACAAACCTGTTGTGTAAACATAATATAAGTTTAAGTTTAGTAATTAAGATTATTTGTAACATAATGTACTTACATATGTACATATATACTTTACACTTCAATATGTATAAAAACCTGATTTTTTTTAATAAAGACGAAGTCACTTGCTAATCACACAACATGGTGTCAGGTGTAAAAATTTGAAAGTCAAGTCAAAATTGCAAGTAATGTGTCAATTTTAAAATACAAAAGTAAAGTGTCGCAAGAAAATTAAAAAAAGGAAAAAAGTCTACAATAATATTTTGAAAGTCTATACAATATTTGTGAGATGGCTCCAGAACACTCTTTGGCGGGTGCATTGCAATCCAGTGTCCAGCAAGTGCCAGTCACATCAGTGATAAAACCAATTGATCTAAGGAGCTCAAATATGTCTGTAACATGGTCTCAGTAGTTTAACTAATTTAAAATTTATCTTCGTGCATCGGATTTGGAAAGACTGAGTGACCAGAGAAAAGTAGCGTTACTTTTGCATTACATGGGTCCCGAGAGTTTAACAATATTCAATTCCTTTAACATTGATATTGACTCGTTTAAATATGATGAACTTGTTAAAAAGTGGGAAAACTATTTTGTGCCTAAAAAGAATATTGCGATGGAGCGTCACATATTTTTTAACAGAAAACAGCAAGAAGACGAATCTTTCGACTCATATGTGACTGCCTTGAAAAACCTTAGTTTGACTTGTGAGTTTGGAACTATGAGAGATGAGCTGGTTAAAGACATTTTTGTTTGTGGACTTGCTGGAGAACATCAAAATATCAAAGAAAGGCTGTTAAGTGAAGGAGGTATCCAAGTAGAAAAAGCAATATGTATTGCAAAAAATATGTTCATGGCTCGAGAGAATATAAGGCATTTTAATAAATCAGAGTAAGGCGTCCATATAAATTCGGTGAACAAAAATATATAAACAAAGCCCTGGGCAGCAAAGAAATTGTAAAAAATGTGGACAAAAGCACCGTTATAAATGCCTGCCAGAAAATGTAATATGTCACGTATGTAAAAATAGAGGCCATTTTGCTAAGATGTGTTATAAAAAAAGACAACAACAAAATTTTCAACAAAGTCGTCAACACCAACACAAATCAAATGAAGTAACGGCAAAATTCGTGAAGCAGATAACAGCAGATGAAGAAGAAACTGAGGAACTTTTTGTTGGTAGCCTATCTAGTACAGAAGGAAACAAAAGGGAATGGAACATATCGGTACGTATTGAGAAGAAATTTGTGATGCTACAAGTAGACACGGGAGCGTAAGCCAACATTCTCTCTTTGAAAACAATTGCGGATTTACGACTAATGGATTACATAAAAACTACAAGAGCGCATATTGTAGCTTTCAATGGAGATGAAATGCCAGTAGTTGGTAAATAAGAAATTGATTTTATGTATAAAGAAAAGGAGTACAGTGTTATGTTTTTTGTATTAAATATACCATGTAAGAATATTATAGGTCTACAGTTAGCTGAACAAATGTCTTTAATTAAAAAAGTGAATGCTGTATTTTGTACTGACATTTTAAAAAAATATAATATGTTTGACGGTTTGGGCAAAGTCAATATTAAGTGTAAACTGGTAATTAGGCCCGACGTTGATCCAGTCATAGATCCACCAAGGAAAGTGCCATTTAGTTTACACTCTGATTTAAAAAATGAATTAAAGAGAATGGTAAATTTAGAAGTAATAAAATATGTCGAAGAACCAACTGAATGGGTCATCTCGATCGTTCTTGTAAGAAAATCAAATGGAAAATTGAGATTTTGTCTAGACCCAAGAAGTCTAAATAAGGCAATATTACGCCCACATTTTCCGTTACCAAATATAGAGTATTGTAAAGCTCAACTTAATGGTTGTAAATATTTTAGCGTTTTAGATGCAAATAGTGGTTTCTGGATGTTACCATTGGACGAAGAGTCGTCAAAATTATGTACATTTAACACGCCATTTGGTCGTTATAGATTTCTTCGTTTACCTTTTGGTATTAACGCAGCTCCTGAGATGTTTCATGGGGAGATGGTTAAACTTTTTAGCGGTATCAATGGTTTAATCATTTATATTGATGTCTTTCTTATTTACGCCAAAACCAAAGAAGAACACGATTCAATTTTGGAAACCGTTCTTCAGCGTGCATTAGAGGTAGGAGTAAAATTTAATAGAGAAAAGTCAAAGTTTTTTATTGAGGAAGTGAAATTTATAGGACATATTTTTAATAAAAATGGTATTAAGGCGGATGATGAAAAAATACATGCAATTGTCAAAATGTCACATCCCAATAACAAAACTGAACTGCAACGATTTCTAGGCATGATTAATTATTTCAGATCATACATTCCAAACTTGTCAGAGAAAAACAAATATTAAATGGAACTTTTGAAGAAAGATGTAGAATGGCATTGGAATATGAATCATGATAAAGAATTCGAAAATTTGAAACATGCATTGACACAGAGTCCTCTCCTAACCTACTTCGATCCATTAAAATCCGTCACATTAACAGTAGATGCTTCAAAGTATGCAGTTGGTGCTGCTCTACTACATGACCTCGTCCACTTGCGTATGCTTCCACATCGCTTACAGATGCACAAACAAGATACGCTCAGATAGAAAAAGAACTGTTTGCAATTTTATTCGGTTGAACTCGATTTCACCAATTTGTTTATGGCATGAAAAATGTAATTGTCGAAACGGATCATAAACCTCTAGTTTCTATATTTAAAAAACCGTTGTACAAAATTCCAGCTAGGCTCCAAAGGTTTATGTTACGACTGCAGTGCTATGATCTTGATGTAAGATACAAGCCAGGAAAGTGCATGTATGTCGCAGATACTTTATCTAGAAGTGCCCTTAAAGAAACTTCGTTAGATGATATTGATAAGGAGGCATCGTTACACATTGATTTAATAAAATCTTACATTGATATTCCTTTTTCAAATTCAAGCGAAATTGCTAACCGTACTAAATCAGATGAAATCTGCCAAAAAATTATTTTTTATGTTTTAAATGGATGACCCAAATATAAGAAAAATCTTGAATATGAATTAATCCCATTTTTTAAAATACGGCACAGCCTATGTATAGTAGATGACATAATTGTAATGGAAGATAGAATATTAATTCCCAAATCATTGCGAAAGGAAATTTTAAGTCGCATTCACCAAAGTCATATGGGAATTCAGCGCACACAATATTTCGCGAGAGAAACTGTTTTTTGGCCTAATATCAACACAGATATTTTTAATCTTGTTTCGAATTGTGAAATAAGTTTAAAATTTCAAAACTCACAACAGAAAAATGAAATGATTTCTCATGACATAATTCACATTCCATGGTTTAAATTAGGTTGCGACTTATTTGAATATCATGGCAAGATTTATTTATTAATAGTTGATTATTTTTCAAAATACTTTGAAGTTGCATTACTTAATACAGGTTACAACAGTTCACAAGTTATTGTTAGCCTCAAATCTATATTTGCCAGGCACGGTATACCACAGTATTTAATTAGTGATAATGAACCACCATTTAACTCAAAATAGTTTAATTCTTTTTGTACAAATTGGGGTATAACACATCTAGTCCTTTTTTACCAAGGTCTAATGGACTCGCTGAACGATGTATTCAAGTAATGAAAAATATTTTTAAAAAATGTTCACAAATAGGCGAAGACCCGTATTTGTCCCTATTACATTATCGTACAACTCCCAAAGGAAATTGCCAAGTCCGGCAGAAATTCTTATGTCTACAAAATTGTGCACCAATCTTCCTATACTTGTATCTAAATTAGAGCCAGTACTTATAAATAAACGTCAATATATACGAGATTTGGATGCATTGACCAAAGCCAGCGCTGATCGTTATAACAAAGCAACGAAGACATATAAGAAAATAAACAAAGGCGACAAAGTTATGTTCAAAAGAAATCCTTCGTCGTTTTGGTACCCTGCAGAAATCACGGAAAGCTCAAATGAACCAAGATCATATGATGTTAGGGATGACGAAGGAAGATTGTATCGTAGAAATGAAGAACATATCAGAGTGAGAAATGAAACGTCAACATCGACCAGTAATAACATCGAAAATGAATCAGACAACATACAGCAGTCACCTAATTTAACAAATGATATAGAGAATTGTAATAACAGTCTAAATTCCAATTTACAAAGTAATGTTTATACTGCCCGAACTGGGAGAAGTATTAAACCGCCTTCAAGATTAAATCTTTAAAAACGAATTAATCGCCCATGTGCTACATTTCGAGTTTGCTCGAATGAGAAATATTTTCCAAAATTTGGTGTGCTCCATTCCGAATTCCCAAAAAAATATTGGGAAAATAATTCGCGCACATATAGCCTTGTGAATTGA